TGTCCTGTGCTCTTTTATATGGTAATGATATTAATTAGGGGGCGTTTACAAGGCGGAGATCTGACATCAGTCAGTTGCACACAATTTCAAGATCCTTTGCGATTTATAAACGTCACATCTGGAAGAGAGGCGTACGCACATGTTTTTGTGCGCACGTTCGTTTTCTTAGCCTATGCATGTACTGCATTCCCACATCTGTTAAAAAAAAACAGTTTGAATTGATCTTGAGGTGAGGAGTTCATTTTAATCAAATGACTAAATATGTTGAAATTACACAGAATCTACGTGAGTCTCCGTTTTACTTACTTTCCATGACGCACATAGTAAAGTCAGAAGTTCAGCTCTGTTATGACACATCCTCTGATTTACTTTTATTTCAATCGTTGTATGAAACCAGAAACCAACAACCACAAAAAAACAAAAAAAACAAGAGCAAGCTAAACACATCAAAGTTGGACATACACTGACAGAGGTGCGAGACAGATGGAAATGAGATCAACCCAGCATTATCTATGAAAGTGTTCAAATAACATCTGTAAGGCAGAAAGGCAAATCAAAGCTGACCACTTTCTAAGAACTTTGAAATTATGTGAACACTCCAGACATATTCAGTGACGTCTAAGTGATACTTCCTGTTTTCTTTTGTCAAATGAACAAAGGACATCAAATACAGACAACCAGACACTAAGTGTAGTTATCATACAGAAAAAAAGTGCACTAATATCAAAATGATAAAATCACTAATCTTTAAACTTCACAACTCAATTTCGAAAACTCTTCAGTTTTTACTGCATCTGACAAACAGTACAAAAAATAAAAATGTTTTTTTTACAAGAAAGTCCCACGAGTCTATACCATAGTCCCAAAATGTCGTCCAGTTTGCGTGTACATTCAGCTTCTTGCACCAAGTCTGAAACTAAAAAGAAGTCCAATGTCTCCCAGTATCTTTAAGCACAATCCCTTTCAATCAATGGTTTAACAAGGAACTTCATTTAGACCTTGACAGAATAAATGAAATAAAAAAAATGGCAAAAAGTAATGAAAAACACCAGTATGATAAATTACACACAGTATTTTGCTTTTCAGTTAAACTGAGCTATCTTGGAGACGTCGTCAGAATTTGACCTCTGTGAGATATATGTACTAGACGTTTATAAATCCATGAGGTATTTGTTTTTGACAAATAGTCTTTCTTTTTCTCAGAGATGGAATCCATGCTCCAGGCGCGTGCTCTTGAAAGAGTTATTGGGTCTTCGGTTCTGCCAACTTCTCTGGCTCCACATCCAGGTCAGTTAAGCAGCAGACGCACATGATCTGAGTGTATTTGGTGACAGAATCTGGCATGGAGGATAGAGAGAGAAACAGGTTGGAGAAAACAGGAGCAATGGGAAATTAAGTTTTACCTGCACCATCCCACTGGAAAATGTTTTTTTTTCTCTGATTTTAAGTATGAGCTTTATTAAATTTGAGTAGATATTAATAAACTGATTGAGTAGTGCATTGACAGTTTGAGGATGAAGTAAGTATTTAAGAGACTAGAGCTGCTGTAAACATGATATGTCTGTCACAAAGCCTTCCTTCTTCCAGACTAGAACATTTTGTGATTACTTCTGGTTGTGTTCATAACTTAGTACTATCTCATAAAACATTTCTGAGTCTGAATTTGAGGTCCATCGAACCGCTCCTTTGCTTACATTTAGTTACTAGATTCACATCGAATAAATTAAGCAGAACTGTGAAATTGCATGAATGATAGTCACATGTTTGTTGTGGTGGAGCAGTGGCTGCTATGGTTATAATGCTTTCACCGCATGACTATATGAAGAAAAAGGAAAAAGGAAAAGAGTTCATTGCTGACACGTTTCCTTTCACTGCTTCTTCATATTCCAGTTAAAATACAATAAAATAAAATATCAAAATTTTGCGTAGTATTTTTTTGTAGCAAACGTCCTTATTTTTTCATGACCATGTTACACTCTCTGACCCTCAGAATTACAAATCAAGAAATCACTGCTTCTTTATATTCCAGATTTAAAAAAAAAAATAATGATAATAATAATAAGAAAATAACAAAAAAATAAAATATCCTGTGAGATATTAGCATTTCTTGTGGCAAATTTTTACTTTTTTTAATGACCGTTACTTTCTGTCTCTGACATTTTTGCACTCGCTGTAAGTTTTTCTCATATTGTCGATCATGGAACCAGGTCTTTCAAGTTTTCAGACACCTCCTCCTTCTCAACCGAAATGTGGGTTAAATGCATTTATTGTCAGGAATCCTTTCATATCAATAAATGTAAAATACGATTATCCTCACCATTCAGTTTACCAAACCATTTTGGTTGTTTCTCTTTGGGCAGGTAGACACACAGATAATAAACTGGCACTCCAGACAGTGCGATGGCGATTCCTATGAGAGAGTTAATGGTGTCGCTGTACAGAGGAACGATCACGAGGAACACACTGCACAGGCAGTAGATGAAGGGAAAGAACAATGTGAGCTAATGGAGGAAAAAGACCCAAAACAGCTGAGTCAACAAACACACAGAATAACACATACTGTTAATAATCAGATGTGAATGCTGGACCGCTGAATGGATCCGGTTACCTTGACCGGCCTGTGTCTGTCAGGCTGAGTGATTCGCAGGTAAATGAGTCCGGCCACAGACAGACCCACATACAGCCAGTAACTGAAGCTGAAGTAGTTGATGAGTTGAAACACATCCTCCACACACAGGAAGATCAGACCCATCACGCCCTGCAAACACCCACAAATCCAGTGCTTATCAATGCCCATTCAGCTACCTGGCTTATTTCACACACAAAGGCGGCAGCCAATCGTAACAGCAGTCATTTACACATTAATCTTAAAGGAACACGCCACTATTTTTGAAAATAGGCTCATTTTCCAACTCCCCTAGAGTTAAACAGTTGAGTTTTACTGTTTTCGAATCCATTCAGCCAATCTCCGGGTCTGCTACCGCCAAAACCAGAGATCGGCTGAATGGATTCGAAAACAGTAAAACCCAACTGTTTAACTCTAGGGGAGTTGGAAAATGAGCCTATTTTCAAAAATAGTGGCATGTTCCTTTAAGGTGCATGCGATTTTTTTTTTCTTTACAATTTATTTTTACCACAAAAGAAATGAGTAGCACTTTTTAAAAATGTTTAAAATGATTTCCACCCACTTCAGATGGACAGCCCACTCATTTCAGTAATCTAATAAAAGCTATTCTATACATGAAGCGGATCACCTAATGGGGGCTTACCATGATGAAATCACATGACTACTACTATTACTGAACACTTTTGTTTAAAAAAAATATACTAATTTTAGATGAATGTGAATAGGGTGTTGCAACAATGACATCAGCAAGCAAAAACAATGGCTTTAGGCAATGCTACATCTACACCACTAGGTGTCAGTATAAATGTACAGTCACATTTACCATTGCTCTGTGAAAGTTTGTGGATGAAATCCAGTCATTCCAAAAGGAATCTGCTCTCTCTGGAGTTTCTCACTCAGATTTTGCTCAGGTTCATGTTGGTTGAACCAACAGAAACCTGCTTTCTATGAAATTATGCTGACATTTCACTAATGTGACCGCACATTAAGTCAAAATCAGTTGCTATATTGGTTGGTGCAACATGAACAAAAAATTACTGAGTGCACCTTTAAAGGTGACATATCATGAAAACCTGACTTTTCCAGGTTTTAAGTGCTATAATCAAGTGCTAATTAAGTGCTATAATGCCCAAAATTATATATAATTGGGATCTACCAACCAAGGAAACGTGAAAAAGATTAACCCAGTAACTTTGTTTTGGTAAGCCTTTTTCTGCAAGCGTCTGAGAAAACGAGCACGTCTGATTTTGCTCCCTTGGTGACGTGGCAAAGGGATCTCATTATAATATTACCGCCCCTTAATCTGTAAATTTACACCCAGGGCGCCGTTATTGTGTTTTCGTAAGCGACAGCGGTGTACTAGTTCTAATGCCATGGCGAAAGTTTGAGCAAAACATGCTAACTGTTCTGTCTTTGGCTGCACAGACGAGCACAGAACACTATTTACAGTCCCAGCCTCAGAGGAGACAAGAGAGCAGTGGATTTATTGATTTATTTACTGTATATTGCTGCTGCCACACAGATCTAAAATAAAAGTGCAATTTATTTCCCAGCTGTTTACCTTCACAGACATAACCGACTGTTTTTGTAACTCTTGTGTGTTTTTAACGTAAACTTGTGTGTGAATGAGAACTTAGTTTAGTACTCGCATGCTGTGACAGCCGCTTTCTGTCCGTGTGCTTCGGATGTGTGCACTCAGAAAACAGTATATCATAAGTTTAAACTCATATGGTTTAAAACGCATGATTTCAGCACGATAAACATGATAATCAGAACCAAAACAGATGTTTTTAGCCGGTACAAGCTGTAATGGCGCGGCTCTATTCTGGAAAAGGGGGCGGGGAGCAGCAGCTCATTTGCATTTAAAGAGACAGGCTCGAAAAACAGCGTGTGTGTTGGGACAAATGGGACACCCTACGGTCATGTGGACTTAACGGACACGCGCACGCGGCGGCCATTTGTAAGTCCGTAAGACCGCAAGTTCACATGAAGTGTTCCATTTGGGACAGGGCCTATAAGTAATATTGCACCTACATGTCTTATTAGAGTATTATTAGACTGGTAGGGTTAGGGTTAGAATAAGTTGGCATCTACTTGCGGCATTCTACTTAAAGTCAGTAGAATGTCTGTTAGGAGAGTTAGTAGACATGTAGGTGCAAGATTACTTACTATAATCAGAATGTTCAAAAGGGACCATCAAAATAAAGTGTTACCAGAAATCTAGATTGTTTAATTCTCAAGGCAACAAAAAGGCTTGAAAGCAACGTGTAAAAACAAAATTATGACTATTTTTGTTATCTAAGTGAAATGAAGTATTTAAAAATAAAATGATAAAATGACATCATCAGTAGTGATGGAGCTTTTCAAAACTCTTAATCAATTGCTTTGCAAAATAATTCTGCTGCTGTAAATGCAGCCCAAAAACATACATAAAATATCGCTTACAAAGCAGTTGTAGGTACTAATTTGTAGGGCCTATTTTGTGTGTTTTATAGAGATTTTGGCTAATCAGCCAATAAGAGACAATTAACTACTACTCTTCCTTTTTTAATATACAAATGTTTCTTTAAAAATGTCTACAATTTGTAAAACATCATTGAGATCAGGTAAAAACCATACAGACTCAAACTGGTTCACGAGTTCACTAAGATCACCCCTAACGGCAAACTATTGAAATTTCGTAACGTTTTGAAACCGTTATGATTTAATGCCTTGCTTACTGAAATTACATGACTTGGTAGTTCGAAACAAAAGATTTGTAAAATTATCAAAGTGTCATAAATCAAAACATTAATGCAAGCACTTCCCAATGAATAATGACCTGCCATACCTTTCCGCCTCAGAAATACATCATATTACAAATGCAAAATGGGTTGTGAACACCATTTCTTGTTGATTATATTGTAGTATGATGTTTTTATGGATAATCTGGTCCAAATAATGTACATACTGATAACTGTTGAAATAGTAAAGAGACTTGCATTGAAGAGGAGTGCAGGTACAGGAGTGTAGCGCTCAGCGTGGATCAGGCTTAAGCTGTTGGGAAGGTGGCCTTCTCTCGCCCCCACAAAAAACAACCTAACATGAAAGAATGCAACATTACTATACGCATATATCAAAACTTCAGAGTCCTTGTTGTTTTAACTGGAACTAGAAAGGTTTACCTGGAGGCGGCAATGATGGAGGCATTGAGTCCTCCGTAGCAAGACATGGCCACAGCGATGGGGACAATCCAGCTAATGGGGCCCAGCACCTGATTTCCAAATGTCTACAGATGGGGACACAAACTGACATTTTAATCAAATGATGGCTTAATTTATACAATAAAGTCATAAAGACTAAAAATTAAGATGTCTGATTATCATAAAGATCCTTACTACAGCCACTGCATCACTACCCATGAAAGAAGGCATGTCCAGAACGGCATAATATGCCACGTTGGTCAGTAGGTAGATGATTGTCACTATTGGCATGGAGATGGCTATAGCGATGGGAAGGTTCCTATGAACGATTAAGGAGAAAGATTAAATACTTAGTATGAATAAGGAACATGATGCATTCATTGTTTTGTAGCTCTGGATAATGGTATCTGCTAAATTAATAAATGCAAATGTAAATGTGGAAAGAGAAACCATGCCAGGTCTGAAATGTACTTGTGGTGGTAGCCAGTGCAACAAAAATGGTCTACCACAAATAATGTGTGAACTTTAGCACAAACTGACTTTTAATATTTCTATTAATTAGTCCGCTATTTTGTAATTTAGTCTTATTTTTATTTTTAATTTTTATCTTATCAAATAGTCTAGTTTTAGTCAATGAAAACTGACATTTTAATCATATTTTAGTATTTTTTTTATTTTTATTTCACTTCACATATAAAGCTCCATCTGAAGTGATTTATTTAAACATATTTTACACAGAATGTTTGATGTATCTTAGAAAGCATGAATGCATTTACACTGCAGTTACTTCATGAATAATGTTATGAGAGTAATGTTTTAAGTTAAAAAAATATGAATATCGAAATGAAAATGATGAGGGAAAAAATTAATATTTTTAAAAATGAAACTAACACTGCCAGTAGGTGGCGACAAGTCAATGTCACTGAATTTTTCATTCAACCAGTGGCGTAGCGTCTGGGTATGCAGGGTATGCAGGTGCATATGGGCCCGGGCGGATTGGGGGCCCGCCGAGCTGAGGGGAACTTTTAATTGAAACAAGGAAATTAATTTCCCTGCAATTTCCCTGAATTTCCCTTGTCTGACAGCTTATCAGAATTCTCAGCCCGAGTCCGACAGGAGCAGTGTTGCCAACTGCTTTCAACTGAAAGTAGCTAAAACTGGTAGCTAAATGTCACTAGATGACATCACAATGGCAATTTCACTGATCTATATAAAGATGAACGTAGATCAGTGGGCAAGATGAGAACTTAGATAAGGTTTGTCCAAGCAGTTGCTATATTTGTCCCTAAACTTTTGAAAAAAGTCTCAAAAGGGGCGGGGAAGTCGCTAAATCTAGCTACAAAGTAGCTAAATTGGCAACACTGGACAGGAGCCCATGTCTTTTTTTCTCTCTCTCTCTTCCCCATTACACAGCTGCTGTTGCAGCCATTTAAATAGTTCAGTTTCGGTTTTTAATGGCAAAGTGGTAATATTTATTTTCGTTTCTTTATTAAGTTAATTTAGAAATATGTTTGGAACATTTTATGTTTGTTAAATTCATTTATTTTGTTTGTTTGTTTTTTGGGCCGCTTTGCCAAAATTGTGTTTGCATTCAGTAGCTACAAATAGCCTATGGCAGCATTTTAGTGCCAAAAAAAAGTCTGTGGCATCCCTAATTCTTCACATTTAACATAAAAAACAGCAATAAAATGTAGACTTATTGACGTTTTTTTAAACTCTGATTGATCGATTTCATGAGACATTCGTTTGTATCATATTTGTTCTGATTTTTTTCAAGCATGCATTCAAATATTCATGTTTATTTCATGCTGCAAATATTAAAGATGAAAATATCATTGATTCATATGCCGCTTGAACGGAGGCGAATTATCTCACTACATATTAAAGAGTGTAAAACACATTTATTGTTTGTATTTTATCATAAAATTGACAGAAGGCTGAGACTTTGTAGTAACAAAGCATAAAGGTGCGATTATTGAGTGGCTTGCGTGCTACAAATAATGAATGGACTTTAAACTTTAAATATCATTTCCAAGCATTTAGCCTATACCGTAAAACAGCTCACGATTCACGTAATATTATTTACTTCAGAAAAATCAACAATAGGGACCAAGTTAAGTTAACCGAGTTGAAGTCCATAATGTTTGGGGGGCCCAATGCCCAATATGCATTTTTTTGCATATGGGCCCGGGGCTGGCTTGCTACGCCACTGCATTCAACCTATTTGTTCAAAAAGGCCTCAGGAACTACACTCTTAAAATAAAGGTGCTTCACAATGCCATAGAAGAACCTTTTTGTCTAAATGGTTCCATAAAGAACCTTTCTGTTTCACAAAAGGTTCCTTGTGGCGAAAGAAGGTTCTTCAGATTATAAAAAGGTAAGAAAGAGATGGTTCTTTGTGGAACCAAAAAGGGTTCTTCTATGGCATTGCAGTGAAAACCTTTTAAGCACCTTTATTTTTAAGAATGTAACCCAGTGACTGACTTTACATATGGGTCATTGAATCATTCGCTCAACCGATTAATTCAAAATGCAGATTCATTTAGAAATGAGACAGTTGGCCTAATTTATTTTTAATTTTGTACAATTTGCATATTTATTTATGAAGACAAAGCTCCACCAGATTTATAAAAAGGTAAGAAAGAGATGGGTCTTTGTGGTACCAAAAAGGGTTCTTCTATGGCATTGCAGTGAAAACCTTTTAAGCACCTTTATTTTTAAGAATGTAACCCAGTGACTGACTTTACATATGGGTCATTGAATCATTCGCTCAACCGATTAATTCAAAATGCAGATTCATTTAGAAATGAGACAGTTGGCCTAATTTATTTTTAATTTTGTACAATTTGCATATTTATTTATGAAGACAAAGCTCCACCAGATTCATAACAGCTGCGTACGCACATCAGTTTGTTATTACCCTCATTCAGTGTTAATGAATCTGGATTATTGAAATTGCGGGACTGCAGCTAGTATCGTACATTAAAACATGCCCCCCAAAAAAGTACATATAAGGGCTTTCCACACAACGTTACCTCTCTTTTATGTAGGCCTAGACTTCATGCAGTTGTGTTTAGGAGTATTGTTACTCATAAAAAAAATATGCTTTTGTAGAGTCATATAATTGCCTTAAATGACTGGTTTCTAAGGCCACCAGGAGTATGTGATTTTTGTACACAGATGCACAGTTACTGAATGAGAACACAATATTAAAATGACAATATCCAGTTAAATGGGGGAAAAAATGGATATGCTGACACCTCTCAGGGTTCTGGATCTCCTCAGTAACAAAGTTGAGCGTGTCCCAGCCAGAGTAGGAGAACAGAGCTGAATAAAGAGCCAAGGCAATGCTGCCCGCCTCCGTGGAGGAACCCTCGAATGGACTAATGAAGTTCTTTGTTTCTCCTGTGGTGCACACAAGGAAGTATGAGAAACACCCTGAGATCTCTAGTTAATTAGATATTAATCTTTTCAAACAACAAGTGTAGGCGAAACCTGAAAATGATTAAGAGCTACTTCCTTGCTCATGCTATCTCAATTCCTCTTATTAACTGTAACAAATCCACCCCTTCAGTATCCTGGAGAAACTACTTTTACCATTAATTATTTTAATGATGCCCACTGTGATGACGAGGAGCAGAGACATGATCTTGGTGTACGTGAAAATATCTTGAACCAAAGTGCCCCACTTCACATAAGCACAGTTTATGAAGATCAGAATACCTGAGAAAAGAGAGATAAGGAGGAACACATTCAATACAGTATGAAGTCAGCTGTGTGAGAATCAGAACATTTTAGTCAAAAGATGACTCACAAGATATTACATAAGAGGTTGTTTTTTTGTTTTGCTCTTATTTTCTCAGAAACCACAGCAGGCACTGTCCATGAATACAGTACACTATAGTTTCCCAATACTTTTTTATAAACGTTTTTTAAATGAGAACTATTCAGTAGGTTCTATAAACTTTATTGTGTTACGAAATCAGTATCAAAAACGTAATGCTTTGTCCCATATTTTATACAGCAGAAATAAGGATTTTTACAATTGTGACAATAAGTAATGTTACACAAATTTACACAAAGCTCAACCATTTTCCTAATGTTATTATAAAAAAAATATTAAAGGGGTCATATGATGCGATTTAAATGTTTCCTTTCTCTTTGAAGTGTTACAAGCTCTTGGTGCATAAAGAAGATCTGTAAAGTTGCAAAGACTTAAGTCTCAAATCCAAAGAGATATTCTTTATAAAAGTTAAGAGTCAACCACGCCTACCTAAAACGGCTCTTTCTAACACGCCTCCGATCACAAATGCAGACATGGTTTTATGTTTACGCGGCACGATGTATGTCATTATAATCCGTCCCCACTGGATGCCACAAATGCCTCGTTTATAATGGGTTTTAATGTTTTTGTCTCTTCGCTCCGGCCAGACAGGGCATCATCACAATATGGTAAGGGGCGTAACATTTCCGTCACACGCTTGAGGTATCCGGCCAATCACAACGCACTGGATAGCTGGCCAATCAGAGCACACCTTGCTTTTCAGAACGATGAGCTTTGTAAAAATCGACACGTTTCAGAAAGGCGGGGCATAGAGAAGAAACAATAATGTACAGTATGTGGAAAATAATGTGTTTTTGAACCTTAAACCGCATAAACACATTTCATTACACCAAATACACAAAATAATGTTCTTTTTAGCAACATCATATAACCCCTTTAAACAAATATTTTTTTATTTAATTTATAGGAAATATAAATTTATGTGTAACTACAAACAACACTTGGTCCCATTTTTACATTTTATACTTTAAGAAAAGCCCATAAAAATAGGGGCCAACGTACTTTTTTTTTTAACATGAACATTTCAATCCTGATTTTTCCCACAGGAGTTCACCCATTATTTTAATTACACATTGCATTGTGTTGCGTTTCAGGGTTGAAGAAAATAAAATTAAATCAAAATAAAATGTTGTACTTTTTCAATTTTTCTAGTTTTTAAAAAAAAAATGTATTAAACGAAATAAACAAATAAATTGTGGTAACAGTTTAGCAAAAATGGCAAACATTATATAAGATATATATAAAATAAATCAGCTCATATAATATGTTGTTTGATCTGAAGTTGAGAATCAACATTTTCTGAAGGTTAAGCAATAAGCATTGATATTTGCCAAAAATAAACAAACGATTGTGTTTGCAGATTATTATTTTTTTGTCCCCTATTCTTGGAAAGTGCCAGGTCCCATCTCAGTTAGCACTTGAATTGTGTGTGTTGTTACAGTCTGTCCTCATGCACTGGTGGATCATGTCCCTGCCTTCTGAGAACACATTTAGCTCTGACTGGAAACTGTGTGAAGGCAACAGCTGCTGAGAAGGAAAGAGAAACAAAAACACCTCCTCTGTCTCGTGTACAAAAGCAAAAATAGGGCAAATCGGAGAAAAGTGCCACATTCATCCTTGTTCTGCTTTCACTTTGTTCAAACTCTGCTTTAGAACCAAAAGAAATCTACATAGGCCTTTAACAAAAACCATTACAAATGAATGTACACACTCAGGCTTAGACAACACGAGTCACCAACAAAAAAGTTCATGGGTTTTTTGGACCTGTTATAGTGATACCATAGTATCCTTTGACGTACCTTTCAGTACCATGTAAATATAATAATGCATGAACATGGTAATCATTCATATTACCATCTGAATTCATTGCTGTAGCATGATACCATCACTTTTTTTGTAAGGGACGTGTTGTTGATCTTTCACCCAAATACCAGTGTCTGCAATAGTCAAGCCAGCGGAGTCACAGAAAAAATGATTTGTGTGTTACTAAAATTATTTGTGCTACTGAAAACTAAATTGGTTATCAAGGTGTCACAACAAATAGTGCAGAAGTGTTAAGATAATAGAAATATGTACTCAATATGCACTACGGTGAGACAGGTTAATCATGCTTGTTTGTTTCTCATCTTTCTCGACACATATAGATTCTCTTGCTTAATCATGCAGGTAACTGTGCCGTGTGTTGGATGCCTGAAGTTCTTTACTATTCAAACGTGATGAAAAGCACATTTCATTAGGGGTCATGTGATGATCTCTTGTGGAACTAGATGCTGTAAGGAAGTGTATGCCAAACAGAACCACAAAACAACAGGTCTACACTACAGCAGGAGTAATAACTGTGCAATGCTATGCTCAGGTATTAGAAAAGAAAAACATAATTTTTGTGTAATGAAGGGCCTGCTTTATAGATATTAGTATTTGACGGCACATAAGTGCACGTTATTCTAAACGAAAATAAATGTTAGTCTTCACGATCTTTCATTTCATTTAATAGATTGGCTAAAACAACTTTCCTTTTCGGCTGAACGAATTGGTTAATTCTGGCATGGAACGGCCACTTTTCACACTCCAATTTAGTTTTTTCACATTACATTAGGGAAGTACAATGGTTGCCAGTGCCATTTCAGACAAAAGGATATACTGTATGTGTCTGTATGTGAAATTTAGTGAAGTAAAAAAAAAAAAGGTGATGTGAAAGACAGCAGAAGTGGAAAAATATTTCACTCACACACACTAAATAATGAATAAATAAATAAAATCACTAAAATAACATCTACATTAATAATATAATGCAATTTCGAATAAATAATTATAAAAAAAATTTTTATCAAATGATATATTTCAGGTGCTGTTTATGATCCTATCCCCCTTCCTCAATGCCTCAACAAAAACATAACACGTTTGTGATATCTTGTTTTAACCAAAGCTTAGTTCACCTACAGGAAATATGAAAGTTCTGTCATCATTTATTCACTCTCATGCCGTTCTAAACCTGAATGACTTTCATTCTTCTGTAAAACACAAAAGAAGATATTTTAAAGAACGCTGGGAACCAAACAACATTGGAGCCCATTGACATGTATTGTAAACACTGAGACATTTCTCAAAATACCTTCTTTTGCATTTAACAGAAGAAAGAACGACAAACAGTTTTGCAACGGCATGAGGGGTAAGTAAATGATGACAAAAATTAACATTTTTGGGTGAAGTATCCATTAGTCAAAAGACTTTTTCTTAGAGAGTAAATGCTATGCTAAGCTTAACTTAAGCTAAGTTAAATGTTAAATGCTTTGGTAATATATGTAATTTAAATGACAAATTCATTTTTTATGGTCAAGAGAAAGTACATTAAAGGGTTAGTTCACCCAAAAATGAAAATTCTGTCATTAATTACTCACCCTCATGTCGTTCTAAACCCGTAAGACCTCCGTTCATCTTCGGAACACAAATTAAGATATTTTTGATGAATTCGGAGAGCTCTCTGACCCTTCCACAGACAGCAATGTAATTACCACGATCAAGGTCCAGAAACGTAGCAAGGAGATCGGTAAAATAATCCATGTGACATCCGGGGTTCAACCGTAATTTTACGAAGCTACGAGAATACTTTTTGTACGCAAAGAAAACAAAAATAACTACTTTATTCAACAATTCGTCTCCTCCGCGGCACCCTGGTGCCATTTTGTAAACAGCGTATGCTATTCAGTGTCAGCTGCGTCACGCGGATACGTTGTTTTCGTTCAAATCAAAGCATAAACAATGTAGAAAACGTATCCGCGTGACGCAGCTGACACCGAATATCGTCCGCTGTTTACGTTGAGTGGATACTCTCCAAAAATGGCACCAGGGTGACGCAGAGGAGACGAATTGTTGAATAAAGTAGTTACTTTTGTTTTCTTTGCGTACAAAAAGTATTCTCGTAGCGTCGTAAAATTACGGTTGAACCCCTGATGTCACATGGATTAATTTACTGATCTCCTTGCTGCGTTTCTGGACCTTGATCGTGGTAACTACATTGCTGTCTATGGGAGGGTCAGAGAGCTCTCAGAATTCATCAAAAATATCTTCATTTGTGTTCCGAAGATGAACGAAGGTCTTACGGGTTTAGAATGACATGAGGGTGAGTAATTAATGAGAGAATTTTCATTTTTGGGTGAACTAACCCTTTAAAGACTTCATAATGTATTTTTCTAAATCATGAAAAATGACATTTTTGTCTTTTTCTAATCAGGCATTGAATTGGACACATAAAAAGTTGTCTCAGGTAATACAATGGCTTTGGGGGGAAAAGGGGGACAGGATCTCACACAACACAATCAACTCAAAAGGAAAGTTGTTTCAGAGGCGGTTGATGAAAGATGAATAAGACAGTATTGTTCTTTGGAATAACTTGAAGAGAAAGCAGGCAAGACTTTACAGAGGGAGCATTCACAATCTCTCTCACACCGAAGACTCACAGAGACAAGCCGCTGCTATCAGTCTCACGGCATCGTACGGAGGCTGACAGGTAGGGAAGAGCGCTTCCACCAGGTAGTTGGCAAACGTCAGCGAGATGACCGCCTGGCTGGCTGGCTCGACCAGCAGGATGGACGTCCACAGCCGAATGAAAGCAAGGAAACCCCCGAAGGCCTCCAGGATGTACACATAACTAGCGCCAGACTTTGTGATAGTGGTTCCAAGTTCTGCGTAACACAGTGCGCCAAAGACAGAAAATATTCCCCCGAGAGCCCAGATGACCAGCGAAAGGCCGTAGGAGGCGCTGTACATCAACACACCTTTGGGCGACACAAAAATGCCCGAGCCAATCATGTTGCCCACAATTAAGCAGATGCCGTTACTGAGAGAAATCTCCCTCCTCATGATCATCTTCTCCTCCGGCGCGTCTGGACCATTGCAGGCTCCAGCCGGTTTCTTCAGGTCCAGGTCTCCCCATGACCCCGGACAGAGTTTTTGGCCTAAAGCCATCAGTTTTTTCATGCTGAAGGAACAAGAAGTCAACAATTATTACTCACTGGTAAAACTCGTTAAAAGATGTTGATGATTTTTTTGTTTGGCATTAACATCCCAGATATCTTGTTTTGTCTCCGACTAATTTGTAGAACGCAAAATGACTGGCATTTTTACTTCTGTAACAAAGCAGCTTTCAGAGCAACCAAACTATTTAGTCTACAGATCTGTCTGTACCATATTTTAGAACGTAACAAATTTGGGTAACGCTTTCAATTACAACCCGCAATGTACTGCGTAAGTAAACAGAATTTACAGCATAACTTTTTTGTTATTACAGTGTACCTATTCAGTACCTCCGTGTAGGTATAAGGTAACAATATGCGAAGTTTGGAGAATAAAGGAGACGACGAAATCTGTGACTGCGGTGCTTAAGACGGGAACGTGTGGAAAATAGGAGAAAACTAATCGAAACGCAGACGAGGGACATCTTTGAAACTGTCTGGAGTGTGTTCCTTTAAAACTGCAGCAGTGAATGTGGTGAGCGCGAACTGGAAACAGCTGGAATGGCGCATGAAACGAGTCTATCAGTGTTTGCGGCGCTCATGACAGGAATATGTGTAGAAAATAGCCTACAAGAAAACTAATCGACACGAAGAGGAGAGAGATTTTTGAAACTGACTGCAATGCGTCCGGGAACTGAAATATGGTAGTCAAAATGGTGCTTGAGGACGTGGATCAAAACGGTAAATCAGACAGTAAAATCCTGTCAGTTCGCTATAATACACAGTTTAATCGTGACTTTCAGTGTTTATTACTGTGTTTATTGGCGCGATGGTTTGGCCATAATAGTTTAACTAGTCATTACTAGTTAATCAATTAGTCATTAAGTCAGTGGGTGAAAAACATGAACAAATTGAACAAAATCTATCCTTAAACAAGCTTTTCAAAAGAATTTGGTTTAACTGTATAATCTGTATAAGTATGGAGTTGCTTTGCTTTTTTTCTGAACTGGTGTAATAAATTTTTATATTTTATTAGGCTATCTGTTGCCTGTGTTATTGTGTGTGATTAGTTCTTTGCGGGTTGTAATCTAAAGCGTTACCCAAATTTGTGATTGGCATTAAATATTATATAATATACAAAAATATTGGTGGCACTTAACAATAAGGTTCCGTCTGTTAATATTAGCTGACTACATTAATCAACATAAACTAACAGTTAAACATATTTCTGTAGCATTTATTTATCATACTTTGTTAATTTTAACATTTAATAATACATTTTAAAAATGTAGTTTTTCTATTAATTCTAATAATTAAATAATTGTTATATTTTATATCAGTAATATATATATATATATATATATATATATATACACACACACACACAAATATTAATAAATAATGCAACAAATGTATTGCTCATTTTTAGTTAATGCATTAACTATTAACTACGACTTTTCCTCAATAAACTCCTAATTTGCTGCTTATAAATATTTCGTAAGATAGTTGTTAAGTTTAGGTCTGGGGTCATACAGAATAAGGCATTGATATGTGCTTTATAAGTACTAATAAACAGCCAGTATATGCTAATAATATGCATGCAAATAAACAACTAGTTACTAGTTAGTGAGAATTGCTCCCTAAAGTGTTATCATAAATTTAAATTAAACTAAGATTAATAAATTCTTTAGAAGTATTTTTGTCACCAATATTCCAGTATTTAATGTTTTACAAATGAGTTTGGGAAACAGTTTAATCAAAAACAGCTTGAAGTTAATTTAATTTTTAATTAATAATGACACTAATAATAGAAATCGCTTCAAATTGAGATATTTCACAAACAGGCAATGCCCTTACTAACCCTTGGTGACTGTAGGGCCACTAGTTTGGGGTCTTATTTAATATATTTAAATATCGTGCCAAAAACAAACTGTACTTTACCTTTAATCATGTCAGAAGGAATGCTGTGGAAAAAAATGAAACTGGATTGTGGAGAGGAAGAGAGTAGAGTTATGCAAGTTTCCAGAGTGATGGTGATCCTGGTCAGAATGAAGAAAGCTAGACTGTCAGATTGAAACGGGTGTCGCAATCCCAGACCCTGATGTGTTTTTCCACCGGAGGCAAAATGGCTTCTTGAGTTGCCCTGTCTATTTTAAGAGGCCTGTACTGAGAGAGAGAGACAGAGAATGCCTGTCCCCTCCTATTGATAGCAAAAGTAGCTCAGCAAAACCCTGTTGAACTAAAGCTTGCCTTTGTTATCTGATCTGTTCCAGCTCTGGCATCAGAATTCAGTTTAAAGACAGGCGGTTTTACCCATTATTAGAGCTGTTTGCTAAGACAATCAGCACTATTGCTATGAACCCTCTAAACCTCAAGTATTAAACTTGCGCAACTCGTTCTGTGTTTGTGCAACACACATAAATAACACCTCAACTTGTGAAGCTTATTGAGGAGATACTTATTCAATGATCCAACTTAGGGCTGCACAATTAATCGAATTTCGAATCGCAATTACAATTATGGATGCCACAATCACGTAATCGTTCAAAGCGGCAACCAATTATGATTTTTGTCATAATCGTGCAGCCCTAATCCAACCCCACAAGAGTCATTTTTACCTGGCAGATGATAAAATCGATGAAAAGTCTAATAGTGTTAAACATTTATCTACCAGGGCCTGTATTCACAAACATTTTTTGTCTCATCAATAGGAGTTCTTAAAGTGCCCCTATTATGCCATTTTTACGGTTCCTAATATTGTTTTGGGAGACTCCTACAATAGGATTACATGCATGCAAGGTCAAAAAACGCTTTAGTTTTCTCAAAATATGCATTTAATATCACCTCAATTTCTAGCGATTCTCAAACGATTCGTTCGAAGCAGTTCAAAGATTCAGTCTCTCTAAACCCCTCCTTTCCGTGAGCCTGCTCTATTCTTTTTGTGATCCATCTTTCAACAGCAAGCGTTTTGTGAATCCCGCGTTGAATTTGCCGAGATTAGAGAAACAGTCGTCAGTAGAATTGATGTGTTTGTGGGCGGGGTCAAGTAGTTCGCGGCCGGCCAATGTAGAACATATGCAAATGTGTTACATCGTGACGTGTAGCCGTCACGGAAGTGGGATTCGAATTACTAACGACTCGGTTCAGCTGTTCAGTCGATTCTTTATTTTGGGAGACAATAACTTTATTTATCGTGCACTTTCAGCTTTACAACTTTGCAGATCGTTTACATTCACATACAGCTACATTACACACTGCATGAAAGGCAATATTGGAAATGGTATAATAGGGGCACTTTAAAAGAGTGTTTGCTTAAAACCTGTTTACAAAACTACGAAGAAGTCTTGCTTACCGCTAATGACAGGTTAGCTCAGAATAGCAAGGTCATTAATCGACAGAAAAAGGCTGAAACGTCCTTTGGTGTGACAGAAAATGTCCTCCGGTGTGACGCCTGTACTGTCACACCACAGGACAAAGACGTCACACCAGAGGACAAGGTCTCTTTAAAAAGCATTTTAAATAATTAAATAAGCTTTGTTTAACTCCTTTTTATTCTTTTTGATAATTGTCAGTGCTTAAATGCAATAATTACATTAATTCAACTATTTTCTGATGTTTTTACAGAAAACTTGTACTGTTATTTTATACTTATTTTCATGACGTTTTATGAGATGCTTTGTTTTTGAGACAGAAAGAATTGAGGGAGAGAAATTAGCGGAAGAGAGAGGACACGGAAATATATAGAGAAAATTAGCAGGGATCCACCAGAAGGGAGGAGATTCTAAGAGAACGATGCAGAAAGTAAATAGAATCAAAATGATGCCTTAAAAAGAGTAGCCATATATTTTTTTTAAAATAATATAGTTTGAATATCAATCATCAAACAATCAATGTTTAAAACTTAAAAATTAAACTTTTTTCTCATTTGACATGTTCAAAATTAAATAGAAATAATTTAATAACTACCATTTCTGTCCTTTAGTGTGACGTAATGTCCTATGGTGTGACGCATAAAAGAACCACAGAATTTTCAATAGTAAACTTTGTAAACACAGTCAATTTTGAAAGAGTTGCTCGTAAATTTCAGATACAGTACATTTTTAGTACCCCCCCCCCCCCCCCCCCCCCCCCCCTTTTCTTT